CTGCAGGCTGACACTCTATCCACTGAGCCAAACCAGTTGCAGTAGTTCTCAACCTGTGGGTTGCGACCCCTGAAAATACATCCTGCATGTCAGATATTTACATTACGATTCATAACAGTAGCAAAATTACAGTTATGAAGTAGCAACAAAAATAATTTTATGGTTGGGGGTCACCACAACATGAGGAGCTGTATTAAAGGGTCGCAGCATTAGGAAGGTTGAGAACCACTGGGGCAAGACCAGGTGTCTTGATAGACTGTGTCTACTTCCTTAAATTTTCTACCTCATCAATTTCTACACAGATGGATTTGAGGTTACAATACAACACGTATTAACAATGCTATTTATTAAGGATAAAAAGAGTAAGAGAAATGTAAGATGAGAGAGAAGTGCCAGGAACTCATTGCTGCCATCAGGCATGAAATCGGCTCTGAGCAGAGGGAAGCGGGCAGGGCGCCATGTGGAAACAAACTCTGACAGAATCCGTCCAGAACCACGTCCCAGAGAGAAAAGGGTAACTCTTCGAAGCTCCCCCCACATATTAATCCAATATTAATCCATCTACTTATATTTTGGTATATTTCCTCCACCTCCAAATCCTTTTTCTATTCTGGTTTCTAACCATTTTAAATATGATTAAGGACATACTTGATAGGCAATCCTACATTTTTTCATTTGTCAATTTAAAGTAATTTTCCACATTGTTGTAAACTTTCCATAAAACTCATTTATAATAGAAAACAAATTTACTGGAAAGAGCGAATATTGACACCAAATAGGAAAATTAAGAAGACTAATTTTAAAATGAGGATAAGCATCTACTAGTAAATGGAAGGGAAAAGATTATTTGTGGGATCATGAAAATTCTGTTCACCCCAAAGCTATTTAAAAACAAAAATCCACCATCAAGAGGGTAATAGTTTGGAAAACTCCATAAAGGTCATTTTTAATGACTGCATAATAATTTATAGCACTCTCAACAATAATTATTTTGTGTCATTCTCTCCTGTTCCCCAACTTTTCTCTATTTTCAAACTGTTGCAAAACCCTTGTATAAAATTCTGGGGGATCATTGGCCTTCCTGTGAGACAAATGCATCACGCAGGTATTTTGACCTGCCACTCCTGTTTCTATGCTAGGGGCAATTAGAGTCATATTACTTCACTACTTTAGACATTTGTATCAGTTCCACTCTTTTGCTCTTACTAATTGTTTTGCATGAATACCTTTTAAAAAATCACTACCATGTGACCCAGCAATCCCTCTTCTGGGTATCTACCTGAAAACTTTGAAAACATCTGTTTGTAAAGATACATGTACCCTATGCTACCTGCAGCATTATTCACAGTAGCTAAGACATGGGAATAACTGAAGTCCTTCAATAGATGATTGTTAAAGAAGAGGTGGTACATATATACTATGGAATACTAACCAGCCATAAGGAAAGATGAAATACTGGCATGTGCAACAAGATGGATGAGTCTTGAGAGTATCCTGCTAAGCAAAGTAAGTCAGATGGAAAAGGACAAATCCTTTCTTTAATTCTAGTTTCTAACCATTTTAAATATGATTAAGGGCATACTTGACAGGCAATCTTGACTTCACTAATATGTAAAACGTAAAATAGAAAGCAACAAGTAAACACACAAAACTAATAAAAACTCATAGACGCAGACAACCGAAAGGTGGTTACCAGAGGAGACGGGAAGGAGGGGAGAATGAAGAGGGTAAAGGGGTCAAATATATGGTGGTGGAAACTAGACTTTGGGTGGTGAGCACCTAATGCAATATACAGGTGATGTACTATAGAATTGTACACTTGAAAGTTATATAATCTTATTAACCAATGTCACCCCAAACTATTTATATAAAAGGCTAATATGCAAAGTGTCCCCTCGGGAGTTCGACCAGGAGACTGGAGTTTGATCGCTCACTATGATGTGCACTGACCACCAGGGGGTGGCACGGAATGAAGGAAGGCAGCCAGAAGGCCCCAACTGGCCCTGATTGCTGGCCAGGCCTAGGGACCCTACCAATACATGAATTTCGTGCACTGGGCCTTTAATAGATTTCATAAAAAGATGGGCATTATAGGATTTGCCTTGTCTACCTCACAAAGTTGTAGTAAAACTCTAAAGAAATCATTTTTAAAAATGACTTTCTTAGATTTCCTTAGAATACAATCGAAATTCTAGAAGAGCCAATTTTAACCAAATACATCCCTATTCTTTTTCCACCTTCCACATTCTCCTTTGCTTGGCTCATCTTGGGGCCCAAATCCCTGCTGCCCGTTTTCCTAGGATCATCCTGCCCTGGAGACAAGCCTATGTGCTTCCTCTTTCTTCAGAGCACCTTTTTCTTTCTCAAATCTGGCTCCTATTGCTCTCCTTCGTGAATGTCAGACTACATGATGGACCTTCTGATTTAAAAGGCAAAGATTAACAAAAAAGGGAAATGATTTCAAAAAATGGGCAATCCTCTGACATTCTGGAACAGGCAAAACTATAGAGACAAAGATTGGTGGTTGCCATGGGGGCGGGGTGGCATTGACTAGAAGAAACTTTTGGAGTGGATGGTCCATCACAATCACCAGCTTGACTGTGGTGGTGGTTATACAACTGCTAGTTCTGGGCAAAACTCATAGAACTATACTTCAAAAAGGATGCATTTTTGCTGTATATAAATTAAATACCTCAATTAAAAAATGATCCTTAGGCAAATCCAAATTAAGAGACATTCTATAAAAGAACTAGCCGGACTCTTTAAAAATACCAGCCTCTCTCTCTCTCTCTCTCTCTCTCTCTCTCTCTCTCTCACACACACACACACACACACAAACACAACATAAAAAATTCAAGAAACTATTCAAAGTTAAAGAAAATGGAAAAGACCTAATGACTAAACACCATGTGTGATCTTACATTAGGTCCTGGCCTGAAAAAAATTGCTGCAAGGAACAGAATTGGGACAATCAGTGAATCTAAAATATGGATTGTAGATTAGATAATAGTATTGATATTGCTGTAATTAACCTAGTTATGAGTAACTGGAAAGGAGCAAAGGGAAGGCCAAATATATATGTTTATTGAATCTTTTGCTTATTTTTATTTCTTAAATTAAATCTTTATTGTTGAAAATATTACATATGCCCCCCTTGGTCCCCCATTGACGCCGTTTAGCCCACCCCGTTCCCTACCCCAGGCCTTCACCACTCTATTGTCTGTGTCCGTGGGTTGTGCAGCTCTGCACACAGAGCTTTGGTTGATCTCTTCCCACCCACTCACCCTCACCAGGAGCCCAAATACTATGGGCACGCCACTTGTGCAGCTTCGCCAGGAAGCTGCAGTCTAGATGCCCAGTAAAGTCTGGGTGGAATAGGGGAGGCACTCGTCTGTCAGTCACACCTGGGAACAGGTCATTGGTCAGAGTCGGTGTGGTCCCTGTAAGTGCAGCATGATAAGGCGGGCAAAATCATTTGGTCTGGCCTTGCCAAGCTATTAGGGGTGAGTTAATTAACTGTTTGACCACATATAGCAGGCTAATTTTTTTTTAAATATATTGTTTTATTATTGATTTCAGAGAGGAAGGGAGAAGGAGAGAGAGAGAAGCATCAGTGATGAGAATTATGGATCAGCTGCCTCCTGCATGTCTCCTAGTGGGGAATGAGCCCACAACCCGGGCATGTGCCCTTGACTGGAATCGAACCTGGGACCCTTCAGTTCGCAGGCTGACCCTATATTCACTGAGCCAAACCAGCCAAGTAGCAGGCTATTTTTTTTTAATATATTTTATTGATTTTTTACAGAGAGGAAGGGAGAGAGATAGAGTGTTAGAAACATCCATCAGCTGCCTCCTGCACATCCCCTACTGGGGATGTGCCTACAAACAAGGTACATGCCCTTGACTGGAATTGAACCTGGGACCTTTCAGTCCGCAGGCCGACGCTCTATCCACTGAGCCAAACCGGTTTCGGCATAGCAGGCTAATTTTTAAGCTGATAATTTTGTGTGGCCCTTGAATGATGTTATAGTATCTAGCTGCTATTGGCAGAAAAAATGTTCCCCACCCCTGTGAAAGGAATCAGCTCTTTCGGCTCATGTGCACTCTTGCTTAGTTGACTCCTGGCTTGCAGGGCCCTCATGCTTCTGCATTTGCCCACATGGCCCACAGCCGTGTGGACCCCACACACAATGGACTAGGGAACTGCACCGCTTAATGCTACACCACACCCAGCGCCACCATGGAACGGACACTCCGGACACTGGCCTTGCTCCTAGCTCTGCTGAAGGCCCAGCTGCACATCTCCCAGGACTGGGTCAAGGGAAATGGGACTCTGGGAATCCAGAGATGTAATCCCACGCAAATGAAAATCACCCATCCTCCTGTGCAAACCTCAGCAAACTCTTTTCCTCAAGATATAGTAAGGACCCCACTCCCACTCACTACAAAGAAAGACCATCCACGCATTTCTTGGGTAATAGTACTGTGTTGATGTTACATTTCCTGAGTTTGATAACTGTGCCGTGGCGAGGGCCACATCTCCTGGGTCTGAGGAGGTATGATCTGAAGTATGGAGGGGGTATGACAGGCAAACATGCTGTCAAATGGTTCAGAAAGAACACAAACATATGGAAAGAACAATATGTCACATGGCAAATGGAGGGGAGTTCTTTGAATTACTCTTGCAATTTTTCTAAAGTTCAGTTATTTCAAAATTTGTTAAAAATTTAAATGGCAACGATGTAATGGATCAACACACAAGCCCTCGTCCAGGGATAAAGGGCTGACTTCTTTAGATAAGAGGAAGATGCCAGGAAGATGAGAGTGCAGAGGTTTGCAAACCTTTTTTGGAAAAGCAGAACCCAATCTTCAAGTGGAAACAGAACCTAATGCCATCATCAAACCAGGCCAGGTCAGAGCTGCTCACCCAGCCCGCTCGCCCAGCCCCCTCGCCCGCAGAGCAGTTTGAGCTCCATCGCTGAGACCACCTCTGCCCACGCTGGGGCAGCCGCCCTCCCACTCACCGTCCGTGTTCTCCAGCACCGTGCTGTGCTTCACGAAGGCCACGTCCCCGGCCCCTTCCGCCAGGCACCTGCCGAGGAGAACGCTGTGAGCCTGGCTGGCGCCGAGCTCCCGGAGCCCTCGGCCTGCCCAGCCTCCACCTCTGGAGGCCTGGCCTGGACGTGGGTGGCCACGGTGGGCCTGGGCGGCCAGCTCTCTGTGTGGGAGCCTTCCTAGCCTCATCACCTGTGAAGTGAGGGTGGAAAGGCGGCTCCTGTGGGGAGAGATCCTGTGTGACCCGCATAGGTCCTGCACATCCGGGGCCTCCAAGGAGCGGAGCTCCTGCGGCAGCTGCTACCGGCAGCAGAGCCGCCTCCTGCGCAGGTTTGGAGATGACTCTGCCCTGAGGCCGGGATGGACCAGTGATGGCGAAGCTACGACACGCGTGTCAGAGGTCACACGCGAACTCATTTTTTGGGTTGACTTTTCTTTGTTAAATGGCATTTAAATATATAAAATAAATATCAAAAATATAAGTCTTTGTTTTACTATGGTTGCAAATATCAAAAAACTTCTATATGTGACATGGCACCAGAGTTAAATTAGGGTTTTCCAAAATGCTGACACGCCGAGCTCAAAAGGTTCGCCATCACTGAACTAACCCTTCTCACGCCATAACAAAAACCCGAGTGCAAGGGACCAGGACTGTTATGCATCCTCCGAATGTCGCAGCCCAGGCAGGGAGGCGGGGCAGCGGGCTGCCTGGTCCAGGGGGAGCACACAGGAGAGTGGGTGGGCGAGTCTCTGGCTTGGAGGACTGAGGACTGTTTTTCTCTCTGTGCTAAACACCACACTGACCCAGATCCCGGCCTGCAGCGTGCCCCCCGCAGCCCCCCCGCCCCCAGGTTCGAGGGGCTCCATGGGCTTCCCTGCCAGTCCCCGCGGAGCACGGTTCCTTTTTTAAGGACAGACAGATGTGCACCACAGCTGTTAGGCTGTCTTCTGGATCCACACAGGCTCCTCTAAAATGCCAGCCTGAATGCGAGATCCCTGGCAAGCTCCCCGCCCCCATCGCCCTCCTTGCAGCTCGGAGACACGGCATGGGCCCAGGGAGTGGCAAAAGGTTGTTTTGTCATTTTCTTCTCTCTGAGCCCTCACCTCTCTAAATATAGCAAACATGTTGATTTATGAGCAATTCCAGCCTGGCGTGTTCCGGTGTGTTGTTTTTAAGTCAGCCCCGCCCTCCCTGCCTGAGTGTTTTCCCAGCTCTCACAGCCCCAAGGCCTCACCCCTGACTCACCTCGCCGCCCCCCTGAGCGCCAGCCCGCCCAGGCACTCACCGGAAGGCCCCGCTGTAGTCGTAGTATCTCTCTAGGGGGCTCTTGTCACACACGCCCTCCCCAGCCGCGTTGCCCCGGCAGAGGCGACAGAGGGATTTGGAATAACTGGTCTCTCCTGCCCCGGGGACGCAGCTGCCCCCAAAATACTCGCTGACAGCTGCGGGAGGAGAAGAGGGTGGTCAGGGTCAGCCAGCTGTGCAGCGGGGCCAGGCCCCTTGCCCTGTCCCTGTCCCCGAGGGCCCTGTCCCCAGGGCCGGCGCAGGCCACTCAGGCTGGAGGGGAGGGCTGGCTCCCCAGGGACAGGGCTGGACCCTTCAGGCTTCAGTTTGAGCAAAACTGGGGAGCTGGATCCCATCGGTGATTCCCAAACTGGGGCCACAAAAGGGTGGGCATTGGGGAGGGGCCGTTGTTCTTCAAAAAATGGCTCAGGAAAGAAACCACTTACCCCCAAAGGCCGCATGGGACAACTAAGTGTCAACTAGATACTGTCCTCATGGAGGCTTTCACGTCAACATCAGTATGGCTCATCCACGAAAGCAGGGAAAGACAGCAAGTGTGACTTAAGGAGTAGCATTAGTTTGATAGACAGGCTTCTCAGAGCAGGGAGGGGGGCACAGAGGAGAGGGAGGCGTTGTGGGCAAAGAGGTCGGACTCGTGGTTCCAGGCCCTGCCAGCCCAGGGGCCCATGCCCACCCTCTTGACAAATATTTGTCCTGTCCTGAGGACAGGGAGCCAGTCACAGGGTGCTCATCACCAGACAGACGCACCTCTTCCAGGGCGGGCCCTTCTGGGTCTCTTTCTGCATCCTCCCAGGGCAGGAGCAGGTACTAACTGTGCCCAGTGACTGATCAGCCACCCACACCAGCGCCGTCTAAGAGGACATGGCTTCTGGGCTTTTGTGGGTCGTGCTGGTTTACCCTGTGGTGGGGGCAGTATGGGGAGCCGTGTACACATGGGTACATGTGTGTGCACTGTAGGTTTGTGCATGTGTGTACATGATGCATGTGTGTGGACAACAGTGAGGTGCCCACCGAGAGGTGTGGAATTTGAACTCATCATAATGACAGCTCCGTGAGGTGAGCACCTACCCTGCCCCATGCATTGTGTGAAGACAGTGTGTGAATCATCTCAGTCCTCCCAACCCCACAGAGCTCTCCTCGCCTCATCCCTGCTGGTCCCCTCGCAGGGCAGCCTCCCTCCAGGAGCTGTCCTTAATTTCCCATTTCACAGGATGAGGAAACTGAAGTTCAAGGAGCTAGTAACCCCCTGAGGGCAGACCGTCTGTCTGACAGCAAACTCAGGGCTTAAAAGACCATTGTTTCTCCTGCAAAATCCTGCATCCTGAACCCACCGCCAGAAGCACTGGTCAGCGAACCAGGAGGCAGCACACTGTGGACAAGGGATTTGGGGACACCAAACTCTACTGGGGTGGGGGTGATCCCAGGAGGACAGTTTGAGGACGTGGTGGTCACGTGTCAGGGTGTTGTGTCCACTGTGGAGAGAGTGACAGCCAGGTGGCAGGAAAAGAAGCCCACAGCATGAGAAGCAGGCTCCCGCTCTTAGCCGGACCCTCAGGCCTTCACTGACACCCCCATGCCCTGCATTCTCAGCCACCCCGTTCAGCTCACCCGCAGCTCCCTTCTGCCGAACTTCTTGTCTGCACGACAGCCCTGTTCCCTGTCAAATGGACCAGTCAGGGAGCAGCAAGTCTCTGACTCGCTACATGTGAACTTTCTGGGTACAAATCAGCAGCTTGTTTGGGTCCTGAAGACAGAGCTTCTAATTCTCTGAAGTGGAGGACACGTTTCTGGAAATAGCACCTACACCGGGTCCACACCAGGTGAGAGCTGCTCTCTGGTGAGTCACCAGGTCCCATGGGTGAGTGAGAGCTGAGTGCTCTGGGGGGCTTCCCCAGAAACTAAAACAGCAGCAACAGTGGGCGGCCCAGCATGAAGACAGGAGGGGCCGAAACACCCACTAGGTGTCTGGAGGCCCCTGGAGAGGGGGGACTGTGCGGCTCCCTAAAGGAGATGCAAGATGAAGGCAAGGCTAGAGGGAGGCTGCCCTGCGAGGGACCAGCAGGCATGAGGCGTGGAGAGCAGAGCCCAGAGGCCCAGGAGAAGCGGCAGCCGTGGAAGCCCTCACCTCTGAGCACGTCGCAGCCCATCACCGAGAGGCTGCCGCTCTCCACCAGGTAGCCCACGGGCACGTTCCAGCCCACCGTCCTGTTGATGCCCGTGTGGCAGGACTTCACGCCCTTCAGGGTGTTGATGGTCAGGTTGGAGCTCCTCTTGACCACGGCTACTGCATAGTAGGAGGTACCAACCTCTGGACAGAAGAGAGGGGAGGAGTGAGGGCAGCAAGGGAGAAGCCACGAGAGAGCCCAGGGCCCTGCCCGAGAAGGCTGTGGGGAGAGGGTGTGTGTGTGCCACGCAAACTTGCACATGAATGCGTGTGTGTGTGGATGTACACGCGTATGTGTGCTTGGGGTACTCATTACTGAGAGAGCCAGTGAGTGCAAGCCATCTGTCTTATTACAGACCCCGCCCTCCTCCACCCTCACGTGGTAGATATTATTTCATTAGTTAATTTTCACCTTCCCGAGTCAGCTGGCACATAGCTGGATCTATGTCTATGTCAGGGGAGCTCTGCAGCTGGACCAGTAGCAGGAGTGGCCTGTGAGTTTTGTTTTCCAAAAGTGAAGCCCTTCGGAGAACATAGGAGGATTGAGGGAATGGTATTGTGGTTATGGGAAAAGCGTGGTTGAGAGGAGCAGGGCAGTGGCTTCCCCCAGGTTAGAAAAAGCGATTTCCTAGTGCTGAGGGGAAAGGAGAGATAGATAGATAGATAGATAGATAGATAGATAGATAGATAGATAGATAGACAGACAATAGGTAGGTAGATAGATGATAGATAGATAATAGATAGGTAGATAGATAGATAGATAGATAGATAGAACAATGTGGTCTCACATCACTCAAGATCCTGACCAGGGTGCCTGTGGGTGGGCAGGAGTTTGTATCTTGGCAAAAGATTCCCCTGGGCCAAATATGGCGGAGAAGGTGCCATTCACACAAGAGAGGAAGAACTCATCTCTGGGGACGGATGGCCAGAGGACACACTATAGGTTAGCACGAGTGTGCACACACTTGGCTGCCCCGTGTGGTGGGCCCGCGATCAGAATGAAGCTGAATCCTAGAAAACAAGCCAGTGTTGTTTCTTGCACACCTGCACCTGGCCCCTGGCACCCTAAGTGGCCTCGTCGGGTCCCACCCTCTGACCTGCCCACTGTGCCTTTCTCTTTAGTTCCTTGAGCACACTAGCTCTTTGCCGCCCGGAACTCTGGTCCGGGCTCCACTTACTGTCACCTCCCCAGATAAGCCCTCCTGTCCTGTCTGCTCTGTTTCCACAGGCCCCCCCACCCCCGCCTTATTTTCTCCCTCATGGCCTTTGCTTTCTCACGCACGCACCACATCTATACTACATTTTTTGGGTGTTTATTTGTTTACTATCTGACTCCTGCTCTTTGGGGGCAGAAACTGGCTCTCTTTTGCTTACTACTCTATGCTCAATGACTGGCATGTAGTAGGTGCTTAATAAATGTGTTGAATGAAAGAGGAAGAGCAGTTTCTGGCCGATGAGTGAAAAGCCTGGCTGGTTTGCAGGGCTGGACTGTGTCCTGTGTCATCAGGTAGCCAAGTAACCAAGAGGGACCCTGTGCTGGGCACCGAAGATGAGGACCAGGGCCTCCTCAGGGGACTTGCTGTGGTGACAAGGAAAACAAGACCGAAGAGGCCACGACCTGAGCAGAGTGAGTCAGCGCTCTGGGAAGCAGGAGACAAGGGCCCTTTGCAGGGGCGGGAAGACCCAGGGGAGCTCCTTGGAAATGACAACCGAGCTGGGCTGTGACGGAGGTTAGGCCTTGGACCAGGGGACGTGGTGGGAGAGGTAAGGGCAGGCCGAGCCCGAGGTGTGTCTGGTCTGAGGTGCAGGGATGGGGGCAAAGGGACGCACATTTCCAACCACACATGCTCCCACATGGGCTCAGTGAGTCTGTGTGACTGGGCAGGGATCACTGTCCCCATTTTACAGTCAAGGAAGTTGCCCGAGGTCACAGGAGGTCACAGGAAGGGGCAGAGCTGGGAGTCTGTTTGGCATGTGGGCTCTGCAGCTCCCAGTCACCACCTCTTGCCTGGCCCCAGCCCCACTCCTGCAGCTTCTGACAGATGCCACTCAAATGTGAGGCAGCTGAGCTCTACTGACGCCTCGACCACTACAGGCGCCTAGACCACCCCAGGCGAGCACGCCCAACACTATGCCAGGCTCGGGCAGCCCCTCAGTAAGAGTTTGTGGGTGCGAGTTAGGGGGCTGCTGGGATCCCTGTGAAGAACAGATGCGGACCAGCCCTCTGCATCTCTGGCATCCCCCTCGCAGAGATTTAGGGGGCCTCTGAAGGTTTGTGTGGCCAGGACTCCAGGGCTGCTCTGGGGACAGGGTGACTGACCAGCTCCAGGGAGTCAGGGCAGGGCCATGCCCAGCGAGGACACTTCCGCTCTCCCCCCACCTCCTCCCGCTGGGCCCTCTGACCTTGATCATACACTTCACCCACCACGGGCTTCAGGCCGTGCTCCTTCCCCGCCTCATAAATGGCTCCTCCATCCAGAGTGATGGCATCTGCCTCCCCAGCCTGTTGGGACACGTGAGTCAGCACCCTCACCCCTGCTCCCCAGCCTTCCCCACCCCACCCACTCAGGGCCCCGTGAAAAGCCCCAGAGGTCCACCCTGTCCTGGTTCAGCCTTGCAGGCCCCCTCCCCCCAGGGCCCAGGGGACAGCTCTCCTAGGCTACGGGCTCACCTTGTGTTTCTAATTATGTTATTTGAAAAATATTACTTTTAAAGGAGTTATAATGGATGTACACGGTAACAAATCAGAAAGTACAAAATGGTGCGGAGTGAAAGGTGAGTGTCCCTCGCTCTCCCGTTTCCCAGCCCCAGGCTAACCTGCTCCTCAGGTTTTCTCTCTACATGCAGACTGACTCGCAGCATGCCCACGTCCATTTCCCCCTTTTTCTTTTCTTTTTAAATATATTTTATTGATTTTTTACAGAGAGGAAGGGAGAGGGACAGAGAGTTAGAAACATCTATTGATTTTTTACAGAGAGGAAGGGAGAGGGATAGAGAGTTAGAAACATTGATGAGAGAAAAACATCAATCAGCTGCCTCCTGCACACCTCCCACCGGGCATGCGCCCTCAACCAAGGTACATGCCCTTCACCAGAATCAAACCCGGGACCCTTGAGTCCGCAGGCCGATGCTCTATTCACTGAGCCAAACCAGTCAGGGCTCCCCCTTTTTCTTTTAAAACACAAACGGCACCATACTGTCAGTATGTCATGGCGTCCACGAACAGAATTACAGTTCCACAGAGTTGGTTTGCGCCCTCAGAGTGGACCTGGCCCGGGCCCTGGGCCCAGGTGGGACTGGATGGGGCCTGGGGGTCTATCAAAGGCTGAGGGGACCGAAAACCCAGGGCCCCTGTGCCTGCCCCTGAGGTTCCCCCCACACCTGCCCTGCCCCTCAAGTCCTGCCTCTGAGTTAGCAGGTCTCCTGCCTCTCCGAACTGCTTTCCCACCCCCCACTCACCACCCAGGACCTCTGTCCCCCGGTCCTCCTTCCCCAGAAACCCCACAAACCCCGATCTGGAAACCTCCACCGAGGAGTCTGCGGGGGGCTCCCCTCAGCGGGGTGGGCAGTGTCCCGAGTCCAGCAGGGGCCTTGCAGGAGGAAAGCTCTGCCTCGGACGCCTTCCCCGCTGCGGGCGGGCGCCCCTCTGGGCAGGGGCCTCTCCTGGGCCTCCTGGCGCCTGGCTGGGGCCTGGCTGGGGCCGGGCAGGAAGCAGACGGCCCTAGTTACCTGGGAAACTCAGGAGATCCTATCGCCCGGCCCTGGCGGGGGACACCCGTGCCCTTCCAGTGAATGAGGCTGTTGTGTGCTCCCTCCTGAGTCAGAGGCCTCTGGTCGGGCGGGCGGAGGTGGCAGAGAGGAAGGAGGCACTCACCGTGATGAGCTGGACGCAGTGGTCAGCGGAGGCGCCCTGGACGCACCGCAGGGCGGGCTGGATCCCAGCTCGGAAGGCGC